CGTTTATTTCGGCACGGCGCCTTTTCCATCGCCCACCCATTCCACCAGCCAGCGCGACCCCAGCGCGCCCCCATCACCCCCCGCCCACCAGCCAGCGCGCCCTCTCCGCCCCGACCCTTTTAGTTCGGCACGGCACCCACCCTTTTAGTTCGGCACGGCACCCACATCCCTCCCGTCCCTCGCGCCCCCCCCCGCGCTCCCCCACCCGCTAGCCAGCGCGCCCCCTTCGCCCCGACCGTTTCATTTCGGCTCGGCGCTCCCTCCCCCGCCCCCCCCCCGCGCCCGCGCCACCATGTCCCCGCCCGCCAGCCAGCGCGCGCCCTCCTCCTCCCCGAACCTTTTACTTCTAAGCCAGCGCGCCCCCTTCCGCCCCGGCCCTTTCATTTCGGCACGGCTCCCTCGCCCCCCATCCCGCGCGCCCCCCCGCACCCCCCCCGCCCGCCAGCCAGCGCACCGGCCTGCCACCCAGAACGCCCCCTCGGCGCCGGCCCCGCCAGCCAGCGCACCCCTTCCGCCCCGACAGCTCGATTTTGGCACCGCTCCAGCCCCGCCAGCCAGCGCGCCCTCTCTGCCCCGACCGCTTTATTTCGGCGCGTCACCTGGCCCCGGACCCAGCCTCCTCACCTGGCCCTGGCCCCGGCCCCCCTCGCGACCCAGACCCCTCGTCGTCGCCACCCTGGTCCTGTCCTTGGGCCCAGCGTCCTCCCCTGGCCCTGGCCACGGCCCCCTTCTCCCTGGACCCTTCATTTTCGCTCGTCGTTGTGCCCCTGGCTTTGGCCCTGGACCCAGCCCCCCTTGCGCCGGATCCTTGATTCTCGTTCGTCGTCGCCCCTCTGGTCCTGGTCCCGGCCCTGGGGCCAGCCTCCCTCCTTGATCTGGCCCCAGCCGCCCTTGCCCCCCTGGTCCTGGCGCTGGACCCAGCCCAACCACTGGTCTGTGCCCCGGCCCCCCTCGCCCCGCTGGCCCTGTCCCTGGGCCCAGCACCCCCTCCTTGGCCCGGCCTCGAAAATCTATCGCGCCAACAACAACTCATTCGAGCAGATCCCAATCGACAACCGCTGATTCAGCGCCGGGGCGCCCTGGCCCAACCTGCCCCTCCTCCTCCTCCTCCGCCTCCTCCTCTTCCTCCTCCTCCTCCTCCTCCTCCTCCTCCTCCTCCCCCTCCTCCTCCAAGGGTCGAGGGCCGCGCTTCGGGGGGGGCGCCCCCGTCCCGCCGGCGCCCAGGTACTGGACCAAGCGCGGGGTCGCGTGCCTGACGCAGCTGGACGACTGAGCGCGCTGCTGCCTCCGCGGGTGCCCCCCGCTCTGCCGGTCGCGCCCCGCGGCAAGTGTCACCCTCTTCTCCTCCTCGATGCTCCCCCTCCTCCTCCTCCTGCTCCTCCTCCTCCTCCTCCTCCTCCTTGTCCTCCTCCTCTTCCTCCTCATCTTGCGTCAGACCAGCTAGAGAAGAAAGAACGACTCGGGTCAAAACACCTGGCGGGCGCCGCGGAAAATGAAAGAGCAAGAGCGCAGGAATCCTCCTCCTCCTCTTCCTCCTCCTCCTCCTCCTCCTCCTCCTCCTCCTCCTCCTCCTCCTCCTCCCCCTCCCCTCCTCCTCCTTCTCCTCCTCCTCCTCCTCCTGCTCCTCCTCCTCCTCCTCCTCCTCCTCCTCCTCCTCCTCCCCCCTCCTCCTCCTCGATGCCTCGCGCCCGCCGCCGGAGATGCCCGGCGCGGGCCCGCGCCCGCGGCCTCGTGCCTCCAGCTCCTCCCTCGCCGCCCAGGCGCGCCGCAACCGCCGAGCCCAGGCCGGGGGAGGCCGCCCCCCCGGCGCCCAGGCCTTGCCGGCGCGGCCGCCGTCCAAAACTGAGGATGGCGCGCGGCGCTCCGCGAGCCAGGCGCGGGGAGAAAAAAGGCCTCGGAGCCCGGCCCGGGGGGGGAGGGGCCCGGAGAGGGCGGCCGTGCCCACGGTTGGCCTTGCAGGGGGCAGCGAGGGATGTGGCGCTGCCGGCCCGCTCAGTACACGCTCTGCCTCACCTTGGGGGGGCGGCGTGCTCAGGGGAGGCCCCGGCATGGGGGACAGCGTGCACCGACGAGGCCCTCGCAGGGGGGGCCGGCGCGCGCGGACGGGGGCCCTCGCCGGGGGAGCGCCTCGCACGGCTGGCGTGCTTTTCGGGGCACCTGCAACGCCAACCGTGAGAGTGGTATTTCTCCGGAGTGACCTTTGGTGCGGGCCCACGGGTCAAGCAGCGGCGAAGCGTCCTGGCTCGCCTCTAGCCTTACCAAACAATGTTCTAAGAACCTTTTGTGGTTTCCACGACATGTTCTTAGAGCATTTCTGGCGGAGTCTGTCTTGTTTTATCACATCGGGTTTATGTTCTAAGAACACTGTTTTTGTTATTCGAACCTTGTTGGGTTTTACGAACATGTCGTGGTATGCCTATAGGAATGCCGGGACGGTCGGTCCCTGCTCAAACGGGGGTCCCCCCAGCACTGGTTGGCGCGCTTGGGTTGCTTGAATTTGGCCACCCCCGCAGCCCCCTGAGGCCGCGCAGCCTGGTGGCCCCACCAGGGCGCTGGCGGATATACACGTAGATCGATCGGAAGATGGATGGGTAGATGGGCAGATGTCCAGATATGCAGATCTTCATCATTGTACCTCGTGCACGTTGCGGCGTGCTGAGATTCTAGGCCTCCCAGATGGCGTCGGAGTAGATGGGGTCGGAGGATCGTGCCGCATCGCCGACGCATCCGCGATGCCGCTCGATGCGGAGCCCGATCTCCTCCACGCCGACGTCGCCGATGCATCGCCGACGACTCCCGAAGCATCGTCGATGCATCGCCGATGCATCGGCGATACATCGGCGCTGCGGCGCGTTCCTCCGGCCCCATGCACTCGGACCCCATCCAGGAGGCCTCTAGGGGGAGGTTCGTTTGGTGCGTTCTGCGGCCGGCCCCATCCTCTCGTCACGACCAGGGTTGGACAACCGCCCCCCTTCTCTGAGACAGATGTTGTGAACTCCCCCATGCCAGATCACTGCTTGGAATGGCTTTGGCCGAACAGAGGCTCCGGCCGGGGGGGTCGAGACAACCAAACACAGCCCGGACCGCCCAAAGATATGTCCATAGCATGTGCTGCTGGGAAAGAACTGCCCAAGCCTCCCACAACAGCCCAAACCGCCCCAGGGCAACCAAGCTCGCCCCATGATTGCCCAAAGGCTTCCACGGCGGTCCCACGACTATTCCAACAGGCCTCACGGCGTTCCCCGGGGCTTCCCAAAGTGGTCCACGTGCTTCCAGGCGGCGCCAAGCGCCAGGGTCCCCCCCCCGCGACGGCCCGAGGTGGCCCCACGAGGACGCGCCTACAGTGCCGTGTTTAATACATGTTCCGCGTGCGGATCATGTATGAAACATGTATGGATTTAGCATAAAAAACGATGAGTTAATGCATGAATATACTCATACATGAACCATGTATATAAAATCTAGAATTGTTGAAATTCCTATGTATTAAAAACTGCCCTGCATGCCCATGGGGGCAAAGCTTCGCTTCCCAAAGGAGTGCCTGCACTCGGGGGGTGTCTCGCCTTCCGCTGCCGAGGAACCGGCTGGGCGTGCCAAGGACTCGCCATGCTGCCGCCCGTTGCCGCCTGAGGGGGGTATGCTTCGGGAGGGGAAGAAGCACACAGACACAATTCATCGTCGATCCCCCGCACATACGGGAAAATATGGGACGTGGGGGGGAAGACGAAAACCCCGACAGTACGGGAAAGTATGGGGAATCCTGTTCTTTGTGTGTAGTTATGTGTGTGTGTGTGTGTCCCAGGGCCCCTTCAATGTTGAGGACTCGCCACGTTGCCGCCCGTTGCCGCCTTGCGTGGGTCCGCCGAGGCTTTGCCGCGCTGGCGCCCGAGGTGCCGCGCCGCTGCCGCCTCGTCGTGCCCCGTGCGGGCTCCTCGGGACTCGCAGCGCTGCTGCCCACAGAGCCGCTGCGTGGTCGCGCGCGTTGCTGCCGCGTGCGCTGCGTCGGCACACCGAGGACTCGCCGCGCTGCCGCCCGCTGCCGCCTGCCGGGGGCACGCCGGGGATCTGCGGCGTCGCCGCCCGCTGTGGCCGCCTCGTGCGCCGTGTGGGTAGGACTCGCCCCGTCGCCGCCCGCTGTCGCCCGCTGCGCCTCACTCCCCGCCTGCTGCTCGCGGACCACGCCACCACCACCACCGCTCGCTATTAAGGGACCCCCTTGGGACACTGCAGTTTGCACACGATTGCGCCCCATGGCTCATTTTCGATAATTATGAAGTGAGGCCATCCCAGGCCAATCGGCATTGACCCCCCCTCATCAGACAATGCAGTGCGCGCGCAGTCGTTCACCGAATCCCAGCATGTTCAACGGTTCGTTGCACAACACGGAACGGACTCCTCACGCGCGCACATGTCAAAGCCATTATAAACACATAATCAATGTCACCACCGACATGGGCATAATCATCGTCAGCGTCGTCATTGGCATCGGCGCCAGCATGAGCGCTGCCGTCTTCATCGTCGTCATGGCCACCATTATCGCTACTACCATCACCATTGTCATCATGAGATCGCGCCCGCCAAGGTCACCGACCCGCACCGAAACGCCCCCGCACCAGCACGGTCGTCGAGGCGAGTTGGGAAGTGCCCATCGGTAAGCGTCGCCGCGGCTGCATCGCTTATGCCAAGCCAGCTGGGCGTTCTGCGCGCGAGCTTGAGCGCTAGCGCAGCCGCAGAAATTCGGCAGCCAGTGCCGAGTGGTCACCGCAATCGCGGCGGCTCGGGTGGTGCAGAGCCCGTTTCGGGTGGGAGCGCGGTGTGGCTGCGGGAGCAGGGGAGCTGGTTTCAGGCTCTGCAAGGTGGATTGCACCACACGGGTCGCGCCACATTGCTTACACCACACAGCTTGCACCACATCAGTCACACCCCATAGATCGCAGTGCATAGCTTACATGTTCTGATGGGCCTGTTTTCCACCACCACCACCATAAGTTGGAGGGGGAGGGGGTCCTCCTCCTCCTCCTCCTCCTCCTCCTCCTCCTCCTCCTCCTCCTCCTCCTATTCCTCCTCCCCCTCCAACTTATGGTGATGGTGGTGGAAAACAGGCCCATCATGTTCGCAGTGCAATCTTTCATTGTTCGGGGGCCCACGCTGGCTGAGATCCTTCGATTGGGGGGGTGGCACTGTTCAACCTCTTGGCGCACCCGGGAGGCTCAACGGATCCGCCGCACCCATTTGCAACCGCATATCCCTCGCGTGGCGTGCGGCAGCGCGATGTTCCGCTGTTGCTCCGACACGCGGGCCGTTGATGCCGATGCCGAGCCACCCCTGCCGGTATCCGAGGACGAGGTGAAGAAGTCCTGGGCAAAGGCACCAGAGACGTTCGAAGTGGAGTTTGCACACGCAAGTGGCACATTTGGCCTTGACATCGGTCACCACGAGTCAACATGTCTGAAGATCAAGGGGGTCAAGGATGGCAGCGTGAGCAAACACAACAAGGCTCACCCAGACAAGGCCGTAAAGGAGGGCGACTTCATCATTGCAGTCAACGGCGTGAGGGGCGTCTCTACAGACATTCTTGCTGAGATGAAGAAGAAACATAACAAGAAGACGTTGAAACTCCTAGTCAGCCGCGGTGCGCCAGTCGACGAACCAGTCGCCTGCAGGCTGAGGTGTGCTTGGACAGAGGAAGGGACTTATTACCTGAATGCCGCAAACGATCCCCAACAGCGCGAAGTGCAGTGCTACACCTTGGACTCAGCATGGGGGAGTGAGAAGTGGTTCATTCACGACGCTGGAGACGGCTTCAAGAGGATCCAGAACCAATGGACTGGGAAGTATCTGAATTGGGTGGAGGATGGCACAGGCGTGGCGCTGGAGGAGTACAATGAATCGTACGGCAGTATGTTGTGGAAGCCCGACTCCAACGTCAGTACCAGTGGAGCCTTCAAGTACCAGAACAAGTATAAGCCAGAGTTCTACTTGAACATGGCGGCGGGGTCAGGACCTTCCCGCTCGGTGGGCTTGACGCCTGATCCATCTGCCGACTTCTTGAGTGCACAGTGGATTATTGAACCTTTGGTTGCTGAGGGGGGTGTCAGTTTGGTTGCTGAGGGGGGTGTCACTTGCAGGGTGCAGTGTGCGTGGACAGACGAAGGGACTTATTACCTGAATGCCGCATTGGACCACCGCGAAGTGCAGTGCTACATTTTGGATCCAACGTCCTCAAAATGGGACAGCATGATGTGGTGGGTGTATGATGTGGGTGACGGTTACCAGAGGATCCAGAACAAGTGGACCAAGAGGTTTCTGAATTGGGTGGAGGATGGCACAGGCGTGGCACTGGAGGAGTACAATGAATCGTACGATAGTATGTTGTGGAAGCGAGACTTCAACGTCAGTACCAGCGGAGCCTTCAAGTACCAGAACAAGTATAAGCCAGAGTTCTACTTGAACATGGGGGCGGGGTCAGGACCTTCCCGTCCGGTGGGCTTGACGACTGATCAAACTGTCGACTTCTTGAGTGCACAGTGGCTTCTGCAGAGTCCCTGAGTGACGTAGCAGCCCGGGACGCAGACGACGGTACACATTTCCGCGGCGACCGGTGGATAGTAGTGCGAGCAGTTCTCTACATCGCCAGTCATATTTGCGGAACAGCTTTTCGTTCCCAACCATCCTGTGGTGTCGGGCCCTCGTTTTGAAGAGACAGCGCCCCGCATCTCCTCCTCTCCTCTCCTCCTCCTCTCCTCTCCTCCTCTCCTCCCCCTCCTCCCTCCCCCCCTCATCGCCTCTGCTCTTCGCATGTCTCAGTTTCGCCGCACCGCTCACACGTTTCGTGGCCCCATTGGGAGCTCCACCGAAGACCCCCATGGCAGGACCCGCATACCGCCACCTCGGCATTTTGGCACACCCCTCACACGCTTCGTGGCCCCACAGGGAGCTCCACCGCAGGCCCCAGTGACAGGGCCCGCATGCCGCCACCTCGCCATTTCGGCACAACCGTCACACGCTTCGTGGCCCCATAGGGAGCTCCACCGAAGGCCCCAGTGGCTGTGTTCGCATGCCGCCACCCCCCCATTTCGTCGAACCCCTCACGCGTTCCGTGGCCCCACGGGGTACTCCACCTGAGGCCCCGAGGCAGCCCCCGCATGCGGTTCCATCTCACATTTCGGCACACACCTCACACGTTTCGTGGCCCAATAGGGCTCCGCCGAAAGCCCCAGTGGAAAAGGCCGCCTGCCGCCGACGGGCCACTTTGCCACGTCTGCCAAACGTGTCGTGGCTGCATGGAAGGATCCACCGAAGATGGTACTCACAAGTGCGGTACGTGTCACTGCTTATGGCTTGGCTTTTCGCCAGGCAAATGTTTGACGAACTGTCGCGCAGAACCACAGCGCGTCCTTGCCTAAAAGACGGTAATGGCGAGCCATATGCTTGTGCCGTGAAATCTCGTTGACAGGACGGCCACGCTATGCTTGTTGGAGGCACGGTGGCGGATCCCTATGGCTGGCCTGCACCATAGCGTGGCACCGCAGCGGCATCAATAACTGATCACTGCCCGTGACAGCAAAGTTCTGTCTCGCATGGGCATGCTTGTTGGAGGCACGGTGGCGGATCCCTATGGCTGGCCTGCACCATAGCGTGGCACCGCAGCGGCATCAATAACTGATCACTGCCCGTGACAGCAAAGTTCTGTCTCGCATGGGCAGTGCTGCCTACTCGACTTGAGAGTCGTCGGGCTGTCTATTCGTGTGCTCGTTCAGCTTGGCTTTTCACGAGGGCTGCGGTCCTGGTGCTCGAGAAGTCTTAGTCGAAAGTTTCAGTGACGGGTGGAGGAGAAGGAGGAGGAGGAGAAAGAGGAGGAGGAGGAGGAGGAGGAGGAGGAGAGGTTGGACGAGGAGGAGGAGGAGGAGGAAAAGGATGGAGGAGGAAGAGGATGGAGGAGGAGGAGGAAGAGGATGGAGGAGGAGGAGGAGGAGGAGGAGGAGGAGGAGGAGGAGGAGGGGGATCAGGTGGAGATGACGAGTGCGGCGCAGTGTTCTCACCCCATCTGCGTCGCTCGGGGCGTGCCCCCACGTACGCGTGGCCGGGAGTTTGCGTGCACCAGTTGCTCGCAGTGAGCCGTGCTCGTCGGCTCGCCCGTGCAGTGTACGCCATGTCTCAGTGGGCCCCGGAAACGGCAGGGCCGTTTTTTTCACCGTTTCCGAGAAAGTGCCCTTTGAACATGGAAACGGCGAAAAAACGGCGACCGGAAACGGCAACAAAAACGGCGCCAGGATTGGAGCCGGAGCGGGAACCCGTGAAAGAACGGCGACGGAACCGGTAAAACAGCGGCGTCGGAACCGGCAAAGAAACAGCAAAACGGAACCGGTACAAAAACGGCCCGGTCGTTTCCAGGGCCCACTAAGCGCCATGCTCACCTGTCTCGTCTGTTGCATCGTGGGCGCGCTTGCCGTTTGGGACTTGTCCTTCATCCAAGCTGCGGTTCTCGTTCTTTTCCAA